TTAAAGAGAGATAGGTACTAAAAGACAAAGAAGAAATCGGTTAATTCCAAAGGGGGTGGGAGAGAAAGATAGAGAGAGTGTTAGAGAGAAAGAATTAAAGAAAGATAAAAAGGAAAGGTACTAAAAGCCAAAGAAGAAATCGGCTAATTCCAAAGGGGGTGGGAGAGAAAGAAAGAGAGAGTGTTAGAGAGAAAGAATTAAAGAAAGATAAAAAGGAAAGGTACTAAAAGACAAAGAAGAAATCGGTTAATTCCAAAGGGGGTGGGAGAGAAAGAAAGAGAGAGTGTTAGAGAGAAAGAATTAAAGAAAGATAAAAAGGAAAGGTACTAAAAGCCAAAGAAGAAATCGGCTAATTCCAAAGCGGGGAGGGAGAGAGAGAGAAAATGAGAGTGTTAGAGAGAAAAAAAATTCAAGAAAGATGAAAAGAAAAGTTAGTAAAAGACAAACAAAAATTCGGCTAATTCAGAGGAGGGGAGGGAGAGAGAAAGAGAGAGAGAAAGTGTTTGAGAGAAAGAATTAACGAGAGCCAGGTACTAAAAGCCAAAGAAGAAATCGGCTAATTCCGAATGGGGGAGGGAGAGAGAGAGAAAGAGAGAGTGTTAGGGAGAAAGAATTAAAGAAAGATGAAAAGGAAAGTTAGTAAAAGTAAAAGACAAACAAAGAATCGACTAATTCCATGGTGGGTAGACGGAGAGAAAGAAAGAAAGAAAGAAAGTATTAGAGAGAAAGAATTAAAGAAAGATAAAAAGGAATGGTAATAAAAGACAAAGAAGAAATCGAATAATTCCAAACGGGGGAGGGAGAGAGAGAAAGAGAGAGTGTTAGAGAGAGAGAATTAAAGAAAGATGGAAAGGAAAGTTAATAAAAGACAAACAAAAATCGGCTAATTCAAAAGTGGGGGGAGGGAGAGAGAAATAGAGAAAGTGTTAGAGGGAAAGAATTAAAGAAAGATAAAAAGGAAAGGTACTAAAAGCCAAAGAAGAAATCGGCTAATTCCAAAGCGGGGAGGGAGAGAGAGAGAGAGAGAAAATGAGAGTGTTAGAGAGAAAAAAAATCAAGAAAGATGAAAAGGAAAGTTAGTAAAAGACAAATGGGAAATTGGCTAATTCCAAAGAGAGAATTAAAGAAAGACAAAAAGGCAACAACGCAAAACCAAAATGGTGGAAAGCGGCAAGAACGATTGTAGGTGGCGGTAGCAAGGCTTGTTGATCATAAGGGCCGAGAACTAGCGTGAAGTAATAAAAATATACCATGGAGTCGCCATTTGCAGACAAGACAGGAGAAAAGTAAACAAAGAAATCGACGCAGCTATAGAAAATGTTGGCGCCCATAGTGAATGACGAAAGAAAATAATATTAAAAAGTCGGCCTTAAAAAAAAAAAAAAAAAAATGCGATCGCTGAAAAATACTTTTGAAAGTGTAACTTTTCGAACACAGCTTTATTTTGCGTTTGTTCTTTCCAGAACTTTCGGTTACAAATTTTTCAGTGGTTATTTTTTTTTCTTTTTCTTTTTACATAACATTTTGATCTTTGTGCTTGAAATTGTGAACACATGACTCTTATGATGACGACGATAATGAAAAGGGGAATTAATAGGTAAAAAAAACAAAAACATTATTCGTGAATGACATTTACACACACACACGCGTGCGCGCATGCAGGCACATACATAGAAATTCCCATTGTATTTTTCCCATAGTGGGAAAGGTTTACGGCAGTATCACGTTGAAACGCCGGTTGTCGCAAGATCATCGAAGTTAAGCAATGTCTAGCTTGGTCAGTACCTAGTTCGGTAAGCGCCTGGAAATATCAGGTGCTCTAAGCTTGGATGCGCGTGGGGTGTAATGGATAACTGCTCGGAATTTGTAATGAGAGATCCGAGTTCCAATTCCAGTTCTTTAAATTAGGGACCTGCACAAAAACCGCGATATCTATGGTTTTAAATGAATTTTTAAAAAAATCTTTCTTTAAGCTTTCATTTTAGTTTTAATTTCTAGCTAATAGAATAAATTTCTTTCCAAGCGACGAGCCTGGCGAAACGGAGTGGCTCTCGCAGCGTGTCTCACTGGCGATGTTTCGAGGTAGTGCTTTCTCCATCATTGCGGCTGGCAGACGATAGCAAAAAAATTGTTTATAGTTACTTTGTTCTGGAATTGTCATCACAGGTCAACTGAACCTGCTTTGTTTCAATAATGTCGTAAATAATCTTTTTAACGTAAGAGTCTACATTCTTAAATGTATACAAAAATAAAACACACAAATACTGTAATAATGTTATATTTCCAATAAACAAAACACTTTACTCTATTTTAAAAACTAAATTGACTGGAAGAGTTATTTTTTCTGAAATACTTGATTAGCGCATTTTTTTTGTCAGCTTTCATTTACAATGAAATTCTATTTATTAAAAACTTTCCAAAAATGAATTATACTTATCTCAAACTTTATTTGAAGAATATTAGCTGATTTAAAGTGTAATTAATCTGATTTGAAACGAATATTATTTATTTTAAGTTGAAAATATCGCAGAAATGCATATTTTTAACACAACAGTAGCTGTGTTTTTAAGCCGACAGTAACACATTTGTTCATGATGACAGATTGATGACAGGACTAATGCTGTTCTACGGAGATTTTATCTCTAAAATATAATTAAAGAAAATGATGAGAATACATTTTTATATAATTTTTATGTCTCACTAATGTTAAAAATTTAGGAAAATATTACTCGTAATCTAATATTTTAGAAATGTTGGCTTTAAACTTTCTATAGTCATTGCTCTTAATTCATCATGGTATTCATTTGTTTTTGTCATATTCCGTGCTAAGGGAATAAATGCTTGACACCAGGTGGGATAATAGAAGAAAGGTTTATTGTACACAACAAGTACAATATGAATACGGTACAGTTATATACACAGGTCAATCTAGTAGTGAGTGCCACTAATTGGAAGGTCGGACGTGCTTGCATCGTCTCGTTCTCACACGATATTTACTCTCTCTCTCCACTAGGACGAGATGTGACACAAGGTCTATTTTTATGTAGGGACCCGAGCGCGTACACCCGGGACAGGAACAAAAATTCTCCTCGGCCTCCGCAACCGTCGGTTGCGCTGGCCTCGGTGCGAACACCGATCCCTCCCTCTGGTGCGATGGGAGGGCGCGGCCTCGGGCAGCTGTTCCCCAGGGCTGGGCACATCTTCAGTATAATTTTCTTCAGTTGCCCCTCTGTCCTTTAAATAGAGAAGCCCCTGAGCACACTCTGTCCAAGGACAGAGACGCAACTGAGAGGTAAGTAGATGTGTACCTACTCAAAAAGAGTAGATATTTACTCAACCCCACCACGAGGTTAGGTTGTGACAAAGGTCGGTTTAATGACAGGATCCCGAGCGTATGCACCCGGGCAAGGAACAAAAATTCCCCGAGCCGCGGTCGGTTGCGCTGGCCTCGGTGCTAGCATCGATCCCTCCCTCTGGTGCAATGGGAGGGCGCGACCTCGGGCAACTGTTCTCCAGGGCTGGGCACCTCTCAGTATAATTTTCCTCTGTTGCGACTCTGTCCATTGACGGAGTCGCCCCTGAGTGCACTCTGCCCAAAGACAGAGACGTAACTGAGAGACGATAAACAGATGTGTACCAACTCAAATAGAGTAAGTTACACACTCGTCTCGTTCTCACACTTCTTCTTCCCAGTCTCTCGTAGACGCTTGTCTTTATAGGTACTTACTACCTATAGTGTAATCATTCATGGGGGTGACTGGCTATTCTATTACATCAGTTTTTAGAATATTATTCGTGCTACCTGCTTCATATTCATGTACGCAAAAATAACCTTGGAAGGGTCTGAATCTACCGTTTCTCCTCACTATGTGTTAAATTATAAGACTTGTATGAGTAATATCTCCAAAACAATATTACAATCTAAAAATATTTATGTCATTGAAGAATCTGGGAAATAGATTAATGGAATAGCAAAAGATCCCTTCCAAAAGCTAAGCAAATTATTACAAAACACGAAAATTTCGTTAGAAACAAAGAAGAGTTTTAAAAAAAAGTCATGTACTGTTAGTCCTTCCATATGAAAAAGGATTCCGGACCATTTCCGCGCAGAATAAAGTTGAGGCAATAGGATTGAAGTTCTACAGAAGGATGTTGAGAATACCATCGACTGAATATGTGTAGAAACGAAGAAACTTACAGAAAATGGAAACAGAATGGACACTCCTACTTAACGTCATAAATAGTGAGATGAAATTTCTGGCGCACATAATGAGGAAAGAGGGCTTGGAAAATTTGACACTCGCAGTAAGGAAAAAGAGACATAGGGAAATCTACCTAATGAACTAGGTTAGGGGAGATAGCAACAAAAACAAAAAAAGTACTGAGAGCTACAAGAAATAAAAAATTTTGAGAGTCAAAATCGCCAAAGTTCTGAAATGACACGGCAGACAGAAAAAGAAAAAAGATGGCCGTAAGGCTGGTTTGCAGATACCTTGGTCGATTCTAATTAAGTTTTGACCTGTTTTGAAACGACACATCTAACATGGAACGTTCTTTTAACTTTATAGACAATTTGTAATTTCGCTGGGAGATATGCGACATCGTGGCGACGTTACTGTAAATTTGCAATCTACTAATTTCCAGACCCCAAACTTGTCTGCACATCCCCAATATTGCCATAACGTCATGACAAGGTTGCAAAATGATGTAGCAGAAAAATTCTACACCTGTCAAAAAAAAAAAATTTCTCAGGCACACCATCCTTATTACGCACACCGGAGATTTCAACTGCCTCTTCTTGATGTTAAGTATAAGTTTCCTTTTCGTTTCCATTTTCACTAAAACCTCATTGTTGCTCACATGTTCGGTCCATGGTATCCTCAGCATCCTTCTGTAGAAATTTCAACTGTCTCTTCCTGGTGTTAAGTATAAGTTTCCTTTTTGTTTTCATATTCTCTAAAACCTCGTCGTTGCTCACATGTTCGATCCATGGTATCCTCAGCATCCTTCTGTAGAAATTTCAACTGTGTCTTCCTGATGTTAAGTATAAGTTTCCTTTTTGTTTCCATTTTCTCTAAAACCTCATCGTTGCTCACATGTTCAGTCCATGGTATCCTCAGCATCCTTCTGTAGAAATTTCAACTGTCTCTTCCTGATGTTAAGTATGAGTTTCCTTTTTGTTTCCATTTTCTCTAAAACCTCGTCGTTGCTCACATGTTCGGGCCATGGTATCCTCAGCATCCTTCTGTAGAAATTTCAACTGTGTCTTCCTGATGTTAAATATAAGTTTCCTTCTTTTTCCATTTTCTCTAAAACCTTGTCGTTGCTCAAATGTTCGGTCCATGGTATCCTCAGCAGAACAACATTTCAAGTCTCTTCTTCATCTTTGAGAATATTGTCCAGCATTCACTGCCATACAGGAGGACAGATCGTAATCTTTTCTTTGTTTCCAACGAAATTCTTATATTTCTTAATACTCTGCTTAGCTTTTGGAAGGCATCTTTAGCCATCCTTCAGGACGTTGACGGTCATAACCCTACACAGTTCCAGTCACTTGTAGCTCTTAATAAGTTTTAATTATTTTGTTATTCCTCCCAAACCCTGTTCTACCATCCATTTGTATGTCACACGTTGCTTTCCCCTGTCCCTCTTTCCCATCTATCCGTCTTGTGAGTATCAGATTTTCCAAGCCCTCCTTCCTCATTACGTGTCCCAGAAATATCAACCGCCTCTTCCTGATGTTAACTATAAATTTTCTTTTTGTTCTATTCTCTCAAAAACCTCGTCATTGAGCAAATGGTTTTACTCAGCATTCTAGTGTAGAGCCATATTTCTATTGCTTCAAGTCTCTTCTTCATCTTTGAGGAGGTTGTCCAGTATTCGCTGACATATAGAAGAACAGATATCGCATAACAGTTCAGTACTCGTTTCTTTGTTTCTAACGAAATTTTCCTGTCTCTTAATACTTTGCTTAGCTTTTGGAATGCATCTTTAGCCATCCCAATACGTCTTTGGATCTCAGTGTCGCACTTTAAGTCCTCTGTTAGAACACTTCCCAGATATTTAAATTCCTGTACCTGCTTGATTTTTGTATCCCCGACTTGTAAAACTCCATTTTGATCTCATCTTTTTTTTTGCTGCTGATTATGCATTCTGTCTTCTTGTGATTTACGCTTAGTCCTTTCTTCTCGCTTTCTTTCGCTACCTTTTGTAGAAGGTTCTGTAGTTTCCTTTCCGTCTCTCCTATCAGCATTGTATCATCTGCATATTTTATGCTGTTAAGATTGTGGCCGCTTATAATGAATCTT